GTGAACATTTTGAAGAACTGCCAAACTGTTTTCCAAGTGGCTGCACCATTTTACATTTATGGACATTTCAGCAATGTAAAAGGGTTCCAATTTCTTCCATCCCCACTAACATTTGTTATCTTTTTGATTAAATGCATATTAGTGTGTATAAAGTGGTATCTTGTTTTGCTTTCTATTTCCATAGTGATTAATGATGTTGTACCTCTTTTCATGTGCTTATTGTATACCTTTAGAGATCACAGGATTTTAATAAGACCCTCATGAGTTCATGAATGAAAGTACCTTGAAAACTGAAGAATACTAAAAAGATATGAGGGATTATTAAAATTGCTGAGGCATGTAAGCAATGGGTAGCTTACCTTTTTATTGAACTGGAAAGTAGGTAGCCTCACCATTTCATACCACTGCTGTCACTTCCCCCTAGAGTCAGATAAAAAGCTTTAGTTCTAAAGCTGTTTTTGTCAGTTTTAAAAAGTGCTGATGCTTAGTGTGTTTTGTATTTCACCTTACAGAGTTAATCCTTTACAGCATCCTGGCATCTGTGAGCTTCGTGTGTTCTTTAAATGGAAACCTGGAAAATAGTGATTGATTTACTTGAGTTTATAGTGACCAGTGATAAGCACATTTCCATTCATGTATTCAGTACTGAGAGCCATTCCTTACCCATGTTGGTTCAAAGTAATATCCCCACGATGACATTTTCCCTCTCTCTATTCCTTTTACATAAGTAACTATTTTAAACCTAAATGCAGTGCTTTAGAAAAAAAGGAGTGAAATTACTTGAATCTATTTTCTGTCTCTTAGGGCAGTCCAACCTGAAGGTTTTCTTATGCTTTGTTTGTCGAGACCAGTGGGATCGGTACCACCTGGGATCTTGTTAGAACTGCAAGCTCAGGACCTAATCCAGTCCTATTAAATCAGAATCATTTTAACAACATTACCAACTGATTCATTGCACATTAACGTTTGAGAAGCACTGGTCTAGAGCTTTTAATTACATTTTGTCTTAATGACTTCTTTATCTCCCATCATCGTTTTTTACCATACTTACTATGAAACTCATATGTATAAGTAGAAATCAAATGTAAGTTTTCAAGTGATTCATCAGACTTGATCTTTCTTATGTGTATAGTAAGCGAAAAAAGAAATTTTATCTGTATCTCTGAGATTGTTCCAAATTCTAATCTGTAAATAGAAGTTTTTCTATCCTAATAATATTTTGTTGGTAACACAGCATCTTGAATGTATTAATATCTATATTACCAATACAAAAGATGTCAGATTCAGTTTTTAAAAATATACACATGATTACATCTGACCTTCTTATAGTGTTAGACCTGTTAAGATTTATTATTTACCTGGCATAGATTTTTTGGAGGAAAACAAAATATTTTAGGATCAGACCTTCTAGTTATTCTTTGACTTTGTATGAGAGTTTATTGATTCTCCTTTCCTTGTTTAAATATCAGCTTACCTAGAGGACAGTAATGGTTAGTGACCTAGATATCTAAGTAAATATACCCTATCTTAATTCCTATAGCAAAGTCTTGTTCATTTTTCATAGATTCATTCTCTATTTTTTCTCATCATTTTTATCTTTTTTTGGAAATTAGCACTAAATGTTCACATCATTCCCAGCTTGGAAACACTTCTCTCCCTGTCCATCCCCTTTGATGGGATATAGTTTTTCAGACTTGCCCACTGATTCACTTTATTTGTTTATTTTTGTTCCATAGCCAGAAGAAATTCAACAGCAGATTGTTCGAGAGACTTTCCATCTAGTCCTCAAGCGGGATGACAACATTTGTAACTTCTTGGAGGGTGGAAGGTAAACTGTCAGCTTCAGTTTTCTCCCCATATATGCATTTTTGGGCGGCCTTCATCATTATTGCTTCTCTGACAGTGTCAAGTGGGTGCCTGATGCAAGTTGAACTAGTCTTAGCATAATCTGCTCAGGGAGAGACCTGATTCTCTGTGGGAAGCCGCTGAATTATTGTGCTTCAGATATGAGTAATATCTGATGAGTAATATCTAAATATCAATATTTAGATGTTGGGCCTTGGGAGAATAGGCAGCAGAAAATTTGAGGTAAGGTGGCTTTAGGTACCTATGCCATACTTGGTTGCCATTCACTTGGTAGAAATGGCCTGCGTCTAGCATTTGGCTTTCCCCTTTCTATTGAGCCCTTTTTCATTTTTTGGCATAAGGTTGCTCTTTGATGTGTTTAATTAAGATACAGGCATCTATGGCCAGGTATGGTGGCTCACACCTGTAATCCTAGCACTTTGGGAGGCTGAAGCAGGAGGATTGCTTGAGGCCAGGAGTTCAAGATCAGCCTTGGATTTGGGAAGATCAGAGAAGTAAAATGTAAAAATAATAGGAACTAAAAGGTTTGAGCTTTGAAAATACAATAAAAATCAATAAGTAATTGGCATAATGTAAAAAGATAAAAGTCAGAAATAGAAACATGGTTTTAAGAGACAATATGCAGAGTTATATTATCAATGTATTTGAAATAGCTGACTATAACAATAAATGCCCAAAGAGATCAACAAAAAAGCAATGAAATAATCTAGTATTAGGATGAATAAGAAATGTTTCAAAAGAAAGAAAGAAAGAGAAAAGAACTGACTCCCTAATGGGCTCATAATAGAATTAAAAAAAAAAGTTGAAGTATGGCTGGGCACAGTGGCTTACCACCTGTAATCCAGTGCTTTTGGAGAGGCCAAGGCAAGAGGATCTGCTTGAGGCCAGGAAATTTGAGACTACCCTGGGTGACATAGGGAGATTCCCCCTACCTCCCAATCTCTGCAAAAAAAAACAAACAAAAATTAGCTGGGTGTAGTGGCCCACACCTATAACCCCAGCTACTCAGGAAGCTTATGCTAGAGGATTGAGGATTACTTGATCCAGAGTCACCAGTTGCAGTAAGCTGTTATTGGGCCACTGCACCCTAGCCTGGGTGGCAGAGCAAGCCTGTCTCAAAAAGAAAAAAAGAAGTCGAAGTACAATAGAGAATATCTAGTATCTTCTTTCTCTATCTCTTCTGTGTGTTGATGTCTTTTGTTTTTTTTGTTGGATGTTTTGATCCACAAAATACTAGATATTCTTTTTAGCCTAAGATTCTCTATCAGGAATACTGCATACTAGAAAAATTATGCATTGCGTTCAAGTAGTACTTTACTCAAGAATGCAAGTCAGTTTAACAAAGAAAAATTTTACAGTCTATTATAGCAGTAAGAAAAACTAATATAATTTTATCACTTAGAGAAGTGATTATCCTTTATATTACATTAAGTTATTTTTTAAACTTAGAACAAAAAAATCATACTTTTTAATTGTATTCTATGGGATAAATTGATTATCATCCAGAAACTCAACTCTAAAAACAGAAAATGTTACTGGAATATTCATATTAGTATCCAGTAGTCAATTGCACCAAGAAGTCATGGAGACCCAGCTCTTTTTGGACTCACCTGTTAATAAGCAGTGTGCCCTTAAAGAAATCATTTAAGCTTTAAAGGTTTTGTTTTGCATTTTGTGCATTTTGGCTCTTCTGTGTGTTTTGGACGTTTTTGATCTAAAAGTACTAGATATTCTTTTAGTCTTAAAATTCTTTCTTTATCAGGCATACTGCATACTAGAAGAATTATTCGTTGTGTTCCAATAGTATTTATCCCAAGATGCAAGCTGTTTAACAAATAAAATTTTTACTGTCTGTTATAGCGGTAAGAAAATTAACATAATTTTATCAGTGTTGCTTAGAGAAGTGATAATCCAAATTATATTCCTGATAAATACTCTTAAATTGGAATAAGAAGCATTTATATTTGATTCAATATATATTATTTAGTGTAAGCTCTTTATTTTTTGTAGAAATATACATTTTGGGCTGGCGCCAGTGGCTCACGCCTGTAATCCTAGCACTCTGGAGGCCAAGGCGAAGGATCGCTCAAGGTCAGGAGTTCGAAACCAGTCTGAGCAAGAGCGACACCGTCTTTACTGAAAATAGAAACAAATTAATTGCCAACTAAAAATATATAGGAGATAGCCGGGCATGGTGGCACATGCCTGTAATCCAGCTACTCGGGAAGCTGAGGCAGAAGGATAGCCTGAGCCCAGGAGTTTGAGGTTGCTGTGAGCTAGGCTGACACCATGGCACTCCAGCCAGGGCAAAAGGTGAGAGACTCTGTCTTAGAAAAAAAAAAATAATAATAATAATACATTTTGGCCAGTGTGGTGGCTCACGGCCTGTAATCCTAGCTTTCTAGGAGGCTGAGAGTAGGAGGATCACTTGAGCTTAGGAGTTCAACCGAAATTTTTCTATTTTCTAAAAATAGAAAAATTAGCCAGCAGTGGTAGTGCAGGCCTGTAGTCCTCCCAGCTACTCGGGAGGCTGAGGCAGGAAAATCGCTTGAGCCCAGGAGGTTGAGGTTGCTGTGATCTATGATGATGCCACTGCACTCTAGTCAGGTGACAGAGTGAGACTACGTATCAAAAGAAAGAAAGAAAAATAATACATTTCTGTGGCTCAGAATTCAAAAGGCATATCTCTTATCCAAAATGCTTGGGACCAGAAGTGTTTTGGATTTTGGACTTTTTCAGATTTTGGTATATTTGCATTATACTTATTTTAAATCTGAAAGTTCAAAATTCAAAATTCTCCATGCATTTCCTTTGAGCATGGTGTTTTAAATTTTTGGGGTGGGATTCTCATCTTGTACAGTGAAAAATATCTTCCTTTCTCTTTTCCTTGAAGAATCAATTTTAGTTTTTCATTTTTCTTTTCTTTTTTTTTTTAAATAGAGATGGGGACTCGCTCTTGCTCAGGCTGGTCTTGAATTCCTGAGCTCAAACGATCCACCC